AACTCAGCTGTGCGGTTGACAGATTGTCCTCTTTGCCTTGCATTTAAATACCGTATGTTCCTCATTCTCTCAATGATCTTGTAGAGTCTTTTTTTCTCTGTACATGATGTATTGACTGTCTGGCACCCTTTAAATAAAACATCCAAATCTTGATGAAATACGAAAAGTAGTATTTTCATTTTTTAAATAAAAGGAACATCTCAGCGGAAGAAACAATAATAAAATGTACCTAAGAGAGATTAAAAAGAATACAAAAACATGAAATATTTCCATGAAATAAGAAAAATCAACAAATAATAATAATAAAATCATAAAAATAATAATTCAAAAATCATGGGTAAATATAAATTATAGTTTATTGTAAAACAGTTTATTAAAAACTATCCATTGATTAATTTACAGATTTGACGTATGCAAACATCTGTGTAAATTGTTTTCCAGCACACTTTTTTTACTATACTGCATTTTACTATACTTATCAACAAGAGTGGTGCTATTGCTTAATACTTCTAAGCAGTCAGGTGCTAGTCATGTGAATTCAAACTTAAGATAAGAGTCCACTTGTCTCGTGGTCTTTCCATTGAGTCATACTTTTCATTTCTGTTTGATAACTATCCCGCCTTTGCCAAAAAAAATATTTATTATAGTCGCTCTATATGTGTTTTTCAATAGAAATGTTTATGCATTTCCCTCATAAGCAGAATGAATTTTTTTCTTCATTTTGAACTGCGATTATTTCATAAAGATGTTTGGTGAATTTAAAAAGTTTGACCTTATTAAATGATATTTTCTTAATTTCACAGCATTAGTCTTAGAACACCAACCAACCAGTAAGAATTCCAGCACTCAGAGCCCTGTTAGGGCAACGACTTGAAGGCACAAACTAAACTGTTCATAATTTATCATTTATGGTACGCCAGCATTCATAACATGTAGGTAAATCACTGTCCCCCAAACATCCGTGGTTATATTTTTTATATTTATATATGTATAATGTGGTCCGCCCGTGCCGGCTACTGTTCATTTCTTCCTGTCCGCTTAACTGCTTCTAGTTTTACTCACATGCCTGAAAGATTTCTAGTGCTGCTACCACAGATGATCTCGCTCTCAAAATGGAATTGAACAATTCAGATTAGCTAGCCGAATGAATAGAAGGGGTGGAACGTAGCCGCCTGTGGCCCAGGCTGCCTGTCACAACTCCAGTCCGCCGCGCGGATGACGTCATACACGTGCCGCTTTGTTTTTAAAAGATATAAATATAAAAAATATAACCACGGATGTCTGGGGGACAGTGATTCACCTACATGTTATGAATGCTGGCATATCATAAATGATAAATTATGAACAGTTTAGTTTGTGCCTTCAAGTCGTTGCCCATTAACCTGACAACAGCCAGATGCATGTCTCGCTCCGCCTACTGTAGAGACATGCATCTGGCTGTTGTCAGGTTAGTTGCCCATAGGAAGACTAGGAACACGTTACTTGGATTTAACAAAACCGAATATCTTCGGAACAGCTCCAAATGACACAAAACTCATATGGCTGAGTAGAACATGATAATAATAACGTAAAATCAAGGGGCCAATGTAAAAAAGAAAAAACGGTGTTCCCCTTTAAGGTCTCTGAATAGGGTGTGTAACATTGTTTGGGCTGAAAATGGCATATTTGCTGTTCTATGAGCCCCAATGTAAGGCTGCTTAAAAGCCCTAAAATGAAACGCCAGATTTTCTTCCTTTTATGGTATGCTCATGAATATTTAGATGAGCTGTGCGCTGATTGGTTGATTTACAACGAGCAAAGCTGCTGAGCAACGACGCATCATAGCAACAAGCACTCACTTACTGAAACATAGAAATTGTTGATATGGTAGGGTGACTAGACATCCTCTTTTTCCCGGACATGTCCTACTTTTCATACGAAAAAAATGTCCGGGGGAGATTTCAAAATCATCCGGGATTTTGGTCAACTACAGTCCAGCACTAACTGAACGGACCGTATGCTTCCCCCCTACCTACCTTACTGGGCAGGCGGGGGGAAGCATACAGTTACCGGGTCGGGTTAGGCCAGAAACCCAAATCTGGTCACCCTAGATATGCTAGCATTGCTATCAACAGCTTAGCGACAAAATAATACTTACAGCTTGCGGTTTCGATGGCCTAAAATGATGCCCCAGCAACTAGCAGGCCAAAGGAAAACTCATCCTTGGAACCATGCGAAAAATAGCCTTATTCTCTGATGTGTGAGATTCTGGTGTCACCAGTTAACCAGCGATAGTCAGCAAAACATTGATAAGAAACCTGAGAGAATGGTCCTCTAGGTTACTTTTTTGCGGTGGTTAAATGTCAAAGATTTAATCATCTGCAGGAGAACATGTTCTATTTATTACGTCTGTAAATAACCCACCATCCTATCCAAAAATTTATTAAAAAGCACTCGGAGAGAGCAGAGACCTCTGCCAAGCAGCTAATGTTGCCCCAAATTGTGACTTACACCTATAGATAAAACTCGCACATTATCTGGATCATAAACAAATCTATATGAATTGTTCATTGGCATACAAAAATGTCAATATCTGTTTAGTTTTCAATGGATCCTAATAAGAAACCAACAATGTTCTCTTTTCTTGTGTTTTGTCTACAGTAAAAATACCTGCAAACTTTTTTGCAGGTCCGATGTTGAGGCTATCGATAGTCAATGCTGCCAACTTCTTGTTCAGTGGAGAACTGCTTGTTCTGCTAAATATCCCTATATTACAATGTTAGGGAATCCTTAAAAAAATTCCTGTGTCCAAAATTAAATGGAATGATCCTTCTGTGGTATGAGGGACACCTCTGATGAATATTTAAAAAAAAAAAACATCCATAACTTTTTTTTTTACATTTTACTTTTTATTGGAATTTTTCACTTTTTTACAAATACAGTGTACATGAACAATATACATTGAACTCAACGTAACATAGAGCTTTCCCCTGGCGAGCTATTCATCTATTTGGCCTTTGTCCCGTCTAGTTTATTTATTTTTATTTATTTTTTTATCTTTGTCGCTGTCTTTTGTCTTAAATCTTGTCAATTTCCTCCACTTTTCCAAGCTAATCTAGCTTGTTGAAGTCTTAGACGATGTGTCAGCTTTTCCATAATGTAGATTTCTTCTATTATTTCAGTCCATTGTTCTTGACAAGGGGGGTCTGCCTGTCCGCATTTCCTCGTGATAGCTTTTTTGCTCGCTATTAACAATATCTTAATCAAATACCTGTCTTTTACCTGTACTTTGATATTGTTCAAATTGCAAAGGTAAAGCACTGCACTGTTCATAGGAATATCATATCCCAGTATCTTCTTTACAGTTTCATGTACATTTTTCCAAAATGTATCAATTTTAGGACAGTTCCAGAATATGTGAGAATGATCAGCATTCATTAATCCACAATTCCGCCAACATCCCATGTTTGTTTTGTTATAATTATTCTTAACTTTAGGCATGATAAAAAATCGTATTTTTCCATGTGAACTCCCTCCATATCCGTGAATTGGTGGATGTCTGATGTGTTTTCCACATATCTAGCCAATCTTCATCTACAAGTGTTATATTAAGCTCTGATTCCCACTTTTCTTTTATGTACATAGTTGAATGTTTCTTCATCATCAGTTTTTGATATAAAGTAGAAATGGTTTTAAATTTTCTTCCACTAAATGACTTTTATCACAATTTCAATCGCCCCATTCACTTCCACAGAGGGATCCCACCTGATTTCTGTCTTGTAATAGTCTAACATCCATAACTTTTTAAATTTATTGTACAGATAAATACAGAAACACTGTACTTATACAATACTAAAAACATAACCTCCTTGGCAGAGGTAATTATTTAATTGTTAAAAATAAAATGATACCATTAACAATTTGCCAAAATACTTATACACACATTTAATTACTTTAAAAGTTTATTAGTGTAACACTAATAAAATTAAAATAGGATGTTTCTGTTTTCTTATTTTTCCACAATCCATTATATTACAACTTTCCAAGATTATCTCTTAACATAGTTGAAGTTTTATGGTTGCACTCAGTTAATGATCCACTCAGACTCAAAGCCACACCTACACATTATGAATATTGCATGGTTGTGATGAGGCTTTAAAAGGCTGTATCACTTCCCCTTCAGAAGCAACAAACCCTCTCAGCCAATATCCAGGAAATTCACTCAGCGAGAAGCAGCACATGGAAATGGAGGACCAAATGGAAAGCCAGAAGAGAAGAGGAGCGAGCAATGATAACCTGATATGTAAGCCAAGTCAATTTTTGTTCTTGAATGTTTATGCTTCATTTAAAAGTCTGTGTTGTGTAACATTTGTGTTATCACTAACTGCAGATCAATTTTATGCTCTGTAACTCGATCATTTTTTAAAATTTTATCCTGACTTGAAGCTCTTACAGCACAAGTTTATTGTACGTCATGAAATGATAAGAATGCACCTGTGCTGATAAAGAAAAGAGCCACACAAGCCAAAGGATAGCGAAGCTTCATTGTCATAGAGACCAATACCACATGTCAGGAGGATAAATGGTCCCAAAAGCATGTGACCATGAATGTTTGTGTATTCGCTTCCCTACCGTTGTCTACATGCTCTATTAAAACAAGTGAAAGGGAACTTTTCTTTTCTAAGCTTTGACCAACAAGTATGGAAATTTTCCATGATTTGGGTTTTAGGGACTTCTCTCCATAAAAGACAGTAGAATTATTGTCCATATGTTAAATACCTCCAAGTATCAAAACTTTGACCTATAAAACAGGAACTTATTACATTATGACCCAGTTTGCATTTTGTCCAGCCTTTTCCTACTTTATTGCCTAACAACCACAGCTGAGCAAAGTACTGTAGAGAAAATAATTAAAACATAAAACAGTACAGATAAAACACAGGTAAAAATAACAATCACACAATCAAATCAATAAAATTGGGTAAAACATAAAGCAATAAAAAAAAAAAAAAAAAAGATAAAAAGAAAAGATAAAGAATAGAATAAAGCCCACTGTCTTGCTAGGTGTTAAAAGCCAAAGTGAAAAGGTGGGTTTTGACAAGAGATTTGAAAACATTCATAGAAGAGTGTCTTGGTTGCCCTATTATATTCTCAATTCAACATTCATTTTCGACCTATGGTGATGTACTCTTGACTTATTTTGTTAACTTCATAAGATTAATAGAGCCATTAGGACATTTTTTCCTGTATTGGGAAATAGCTCCTAACTTTGAAGCTGGGAAAGTTTAGTAGGTTGAACAACAGGAAGCTGTTTTTTATTTATTTAACTGATTTCATGTGTTGTGAAGATGTTTAATGTGGTTTTGGTTTGAATGTGGGTATACTGGTGCTGGAAAGTATAGCAAAAACCACAAAGGCTGCAAAAATGAAACTTTCCATTAAGATCTAATTGTGGTTTATCTGATAACAAAAAAAAAACTTTTAAAAGAGATGTCTTAATGGCTTCTCATCTGGAAATGGACAAGTCAGTCTGAGCTAGAAACGTCCGCCTTGCTTTATTACTTTATTACTTTTCCATCTGAACAAAGCCGTGGATCATGTTTTGTCAGTAAACATTTTAATATTTGCTCTTTGGGTGGATGTTGTGGTGTTCAGTGAGCTGTCATGTTCTCAGTGATAACACAATGGAAACCTTCGACACACCTTTTATCTGCATGTGGTATATTAAGTCCCAGGTAAACAAAAGACACGTGTGGTGCAGTAATGTATTATAATTTGTACACAATAAGGTCCATACTAGTAGTTGAAGGCTAATATTTAATTTCATGACCTTTACATTTTACCAGTCACCCTGCATTAATGCAATAACCCCATTTTTTTTATTTACTTGGTGGGGATCGTCTCATGTATGAAGTTCTAAACACAGTGGTTAAAAGGTTCAAACTGCAGACCTGTGCTGTATAGTGTGCTTACTTTTAATATGGCCTACAGTCAGGTTTGGTAGAAGTTAGTTCAGGACCCAAATGCAGAGATGAGGAGGCAGAGCTGAGTTTTGCTGATTTAATGAAAAAAGCTACAGAAACCAAATTCAAGAACCGAAATACAGGAAACCAAAAACCAGGAGACGATAGGAGAAAACACATATGGGGAGCCAAATTAGACAAAATGGAGAAAAAAAAGATCAGAATGAGATAGATAACTAAAAAACTCAAAAAGAAACTCAAATAGAAGTCCAACATGGGAAAACCATTACAGCCTACTTTTGCCACAAATAACAAAAAATAAAAACAAGAAAGCAGGAATTCTATATTTGCTGTAATGGTTTAGCTTTCAAGAAACTTGCATGATTGTTGAAACACGCTTTGTGATTTTCATCAGCTGATAGGCCTGTCGGATCTGTGGGATGCATCGGCTGGTTTCTGATGATTCTCTCAAGCCTTTTCATTTTCGTAACCTTCCCGGTCACACTCTGGTTTTGTTTTAAGGTGAGTGAGTTGAAAACAGTAAACAAGCATTTTGCATTTGTGAATGCGTGAACATAAGCTGATTTAGTGTTTGTGAAATCTACTGTAGGTTGTCCAGGAGTACGAGCGGGCCGTCATCTTCAGGCTTGGTCGCATTACAGACCGAAAGGCAAAAGGACCAGGTGTAGTATTAATGTCTGCCTATTATTGTTAGGGTTTTTTTCTGTTTTTTGGTTGAAAAAAAAAAATTATCTTTACCTCTTTTCTGAATGCTGAAAGGAATGTTCTTCATTATACCATGCACCGATTCTATTGTGAAAGTGGATCTGAGGACTGTGTCATTTGACATTCCACCGCAAGAGGCAAGTGGCACACAACAGCACCTAATTTCCATTACAAGAAAATACTTCAAACTTCATATTCTTGTATTTATTTATGTCAACTGTATGTTTGCTTATGTAGCACCTCATCACCAAAAGAAATGTCCCATACGTATAGAACAACACTGAATTTTCTGAATTAATGTGTATGATTTCTCTAGATTCTCACTAAAGATTCAGTCACTATTTGTGTGGATGGCGTGGTTTACTTCCGAGTTAGTGACCCTATTGCCTCTGTGGCCAACGTATCTAACGCTGACTACTCCACTCGACTGCTGGCACAAACCACCCTCAGGAATGTTCTCGGCACCAAGAACCTTGCTGAGGTCTTGTCTGATCGTGAGGGCATCGCTCACAGCATGCAGGTATAAATATTTATCATAAGTATTTCTTCTTAGGTCTTTCTTTGGTTCTCTCCTTTCTTAGTCATATACCATCATTTTGCCCGTTAAAGGCCTTAGAAAGTGATAGAGTTCACATCACTAGTATTTCTTCTCTACTCGAGGGGATACAGCTTCTGAAATATCTTGAATATTTCACGGGAAGCATATATTTCCCTTTTGTTATGTATTTCAAGTTATATTTAAGCAATTAGAATTTAACAGACTCATTACAATTAATTTCAGTAACATTGTTCACTATGTTGAAAAGAATGATGTTTTAAAGAAATTATACTAATTGTGATTGTAATTGTGATGATTTTCTGCTTAGATCTGAGGAAAACATGAAATTTAAGAATAGAATATTCAATAAAAGAAACATTTTTATAATGTAAATATGGGCTTAATGAAAAGTATGTATAATAGCTTCTTAGGGGTTATTGTACAAAATTATATTTAATTCATAAATCCAGTAATTTTTTAGAGATAAAACTGACTTTTATTTGCTCCAGATTCACTTGAGAGACTTTAAGTTTCATGAGGTAAAAATCCTTTTTATGTAACTTCCAGTCAAGCCTGGATGAAGCCACAGACGATTGGGGCATCAAGGTGGAGCGTGTGGAGATCAAAGATGTGAAGCTGCCTCATCAGCTGCAGAGGGCCATGGCAGCTGAAGCTGAAGCAGCACGAGAAGCCAGGGCTAAGGTCTGTACAATGCCTCCCTCCAAAATGTCCAAACAAAGACAATTAAATCACATAAAAGCTGATCTTCGCTATGTGTTTATGCATTATTTTTATACCCGTCTCTCTCTTGCTGTAGGTGATTGCAGCAGAAGGTGAAATGAATGCCTCCCGTGCCCTGAAGGAGGCGTCCCTCGTGATTGCAGAGTCTCCATCAGCACTGCAGCTCCGCTACTTGCAAACTCTCAATACCATCGCAGCAGAGAAGAACTCCACTATCATCTTCCCACTGCCTATGGATGTGATATCACACTTTATGCGTAAATGAAGGCACTAAATCATCTTTTGCATTCTAAAGAAGGGGAATTGAATCCAAAGCTAATGTTCCAATGCTTTATGCTACTGTAGGCCTCGATCAAACAAGGCTCTTCTTAGGTGTGTGATTTGAATCGAATGTCGAATAGCAGTTTGATATTGTATATAATTATGTGCGTATATCAATATCGATATACGCAATTTATTATTTAAAAAACAAATGAAAAAATCTCAAGAACAATTTGTAAAAAAATCTTGAAAAGCTTCTCCTGTGTCTTGATTCTGAAATCATTGCATCCACTTTGCCACTTTACATGCCAAATAAAAGCTATTGCAAAACATTTGTTGTGAAAAGAGATTTATTGGTGTCAGGAACAATTTATTAAGATCCCATAATTTAAAAGTGAAACCAGGAAACTTTTTTCTAGAAGTAAAAATCTGAAAAATGAGGCATGCTTTTATATTCAGGCCCTTTTACATTTGATCAAAGTTCAGAGCAACTGACCTTCACAATTCATCAAAATATAAAAAAGAATCCACCTTTGTGTAATTAAATGTACGCATGTGAAGGCTTCAAATGGTTGGTCAAGTACCACCGTGAACTGACAGCATCATGAAGACTAAGATGTGCTATAGACAGTTCAGGGATGACTGTATTTGTCAAAAAGCAGTTTTGTTATTAAACAAAATCCAGAGCAAATAACATTCGACATATAATTGCTTAATGTTTGGTGGATAAGCCAGATAAGGTGCACATTAGAAGAGTGTTAGACAGTCCATGTTGTTAGATGTTTTCCATAGGGGTTTGAAACTCCATTAAACGCACCACACCTGCATGTGAGATGGCTGAAATTTTTTTCCTACTCATGCAGCAGTGTACAGCTCATTATCTCCCGTTTTGTCCTAACATTCTTCCTTTATATGTGTTTACCTACTGGACTTAATGTGTGTACATGTCAGAAGAATCACAATAAATCTACCACAAAACCAGACATCTGCCTCTGTGTTTTTTAACGGGAACACATTCCATACACATTGCCGCTCTAAACCAGCTAACTCCTGGAGAACACCTCATCTCCTTTTTAAAGAGTGTCAAGAAGAAAACCACAAATAAATTATTGGATACCCTAAATGTAAAAAAGAGCTTGTTAGTTCATATACAAAATGCTTCCTGTTGGGAAAAAAAACTATACCTGCATGTCACCCTGAACTCTCCATCTCCTTTGATAAACATGGTGGTGGTTGCATCATGCTTTGGAAATTCCATTTTCCCATTAGAAAAAGTATAACTTATCATAATGTGGATGGAGGTACTGTAGGTACATGGCAATCCTAGAAGAAAAGCTGTTAGAGGCTGTAAATTATCATGAGGCAGGGGTGCATTTTATCTTAAGATTATAATTAATACACGTAAGTGTTAAAATGGAACAATTCAAAACTAAAATATGGCAATGCCGTAGAATGGCCCACGAGTCTGGCCCAATACTGTCTGTTCCACTTGATGAAGTTTCAGCTATTTTGCAAAGATAAATGTGCAGAAATTCTACCTTCTATACGTGCAAAACTGGCACAGACATATTCCCCAAAGATCTGCAGCTTTGACACAAAAAGGTACTTATATAAAGTATAACCTCTGATACAAATGCATAATTCACTCTTATCATTTTTAATGCAATAGAAATGGAAAAGGTGCATGAACACTGAAATCTATGCCTTTTTTCTAAATTTTTCTTGATTTTGTTAGTTTAACAGGACAACATACGAAAAATGCCATGACATAATATGTTTAAGGTACTGTATATCCATTCTCCTCTGGTCTTATGTTGGAGGCTACATACATATTGTTAGCAACCCGTAATGAAAAGAATTTGCTGTTGTATTGAAACTTTTGAATAGTAAAACTCTTGCGAAAAAAAATGAACACACGGCACTTATTATTGCATTTCTTTTTAAACACTTTATTACTGTCCTTTTGCTAAAAATGCCAAATTAAAGCATCAACATACTGTGTTCACATTACATTGATGAACAGTTTTATTTTTATTTTTCTACATCCCCAACGCTACAGTTACAGCTTAACCATAAACAACGCAGAGGTCAAAGAAGAGAAAAGAACATGGACAAAGGCAGGAAACATGCTTCTACTGTATATCTGTCGGTGCACTAAGACACACGACTCGGGTTGTAAATGTATCTACATTCAAACATACAATCAGCACCAAAAAGCTCGTCTCAGGATCAAAATCCATTGGAGCTATGGTTTAAAGACGGTCCTCTACAAATTTTACTTATTAAACTAAATAAATGTTGAAAAGCCACATTTGCTACAGTAGCATTTGAACGTTTACATGAGTGTCAAAAATACTAATCATCTGTTGTTTTGTGGGCAAGTTTGACCAAATGCTACATATCATATGGCTGCTACAAAATCACAATCACAAAAAAGGTCCTTCTTTAGTTAACAAAATGGCATGAAAGAGTTTTATCAAATGCAATCATTACAATTTTGACATTCAGAGCAAAGTGAGAGACAGATGTCCACGGGACACATTGCAGGGTAATTATAATACCAGTTTAGTGTTTAGAAACTGTAGTTCATTCAAAAGACTTATTTTGAAATTCAGAACTGTATGCTGTTAGTTGTAAACAATAGTTTAGTTGCATCCTTTGAAACTGTAGTTTTTGCACCTGAGGTGAACCTTTAGGAGGAGTGAGAAATAATCCCAAACAATCTGAAAACACAGTGAGTTTCTGACTGAACTATTTTTTTTCTTATTATTTTTCCTTTTTTTATCAATTGAGTAGACATTCTCAAAAATGATCAGTGTAGAAAAAGGAAACAAACAAAATAATTGTGACAGTTTCAGCTCATCTCTCCTACGCTGCACTTGACATTCTTCTGACAGAAGCATTCAACCCTGTGTCCACGTCATACAAAAATTTAGAAGTTTAATTAAAGGAGTTTTTTTTTTTTTTTTTTTTAAAGGCCGTCAAAAAGTGCTGGTGAAGAACTTAAAGACTAACATCACCCTTAACTTTAAATGTGCACCCCTGGTAAAGATGTGTAAAAAGCAATACAATAATCTTATATTGCTGCAGCAAAAAAAAAAAAACAAGTATTCAACCTGAACTTTGTTGAAAAAAATCCCATGTTAAAATATAAAAAAATATTTTGGAATGAATACTGTATAATTAGTACTACTCCTAACAGTTACCATAAAATGAATATTGTAAAAAAATGTTTTATTTGAAATTTGGTCATTGAGTTCAAAAAGGATTTATTTCTGCAAGCAACTCTTCACTATGAGAAAGACAAGAAAACATGCATTTAAATAAGGCCCAAGTTTGACCTTTATTCCTTCAAAAAAGTGACCAAAAATTTGTTAAAAAAGTTTACTGGAAAAAGCAGCAATTATTTTCATAGCAACCATTTTTCTTAAGGCTTTTGCATGCATCTTTACCAGGAGTGTCAATTCTTTTTGTTGAGAGCATTATTGTCACTAAATGTCTCAATAATCATTTCACATGCAGCTCGCCTGCCGAGCTGGAAACATTCAAATCAAGTGTGCTGGTCAATATTTTCTCTGCATTTTGCAGCACAAGTACGCCAGATAGTTCTGTTAAACAAGTGCCAGATCTACATGATAAAAACACATAATGCCCACACAGGGCCCTTCTCACGTCTGTTTAACTATAAATACACCTATATGAGCTACTAACCCAAATGCATGCTCCCCTCAATAATAGAATGGTTTACACTGACTCTCTGACTTTATTTACAGCGGTTAATCTTGCGTGAATGTTAGACTATATTAGCTTTGTGGATAAAAGTCTTTTCAATGATTTGTTAAAAAACAAAACATCATGAACCTGAGGGTACTATAGTGGGCAGATTACATAACAGGATGTGGATATGACACAATGATGAATAATAATAAATGATAAATATGAATAAAATTCACAGTTGGTAGATGTAGTGTGTTTTTTTCCTCAGAGCTGTAGAGCAACTTTGGAATATCTTTTTAAATACTAATCATGTTTTATGTTAAATCATAACTTAGATACTTCTGATGATTTATTCTAGCATGTTGAAAAGAGAAATGGATATGAGATGTATCTTGAAAATGATTGAGAAGAGGTACAATAAATAATGTTCTACAACCCTAATTAAGCACATCACAAAAAGATAAACAGGGTTCTATGTTTTACCTACATAATTTAGAGACACACTTAATTAAAAGCCTCCTCAGAGCATTATCTAAGAACAGTGATTTGCAGAGTTTTCTGCATCTGTAGGCGAATCAGTTTCATTTACGAAGTAACACACTGTGCATTCATGTTTTATGGCTACTGTACTTTGCAAAAGATATCCAGGCCCATTTAACTCTTTGTCAAATAAAGCTATCAATTTTATTATATCTATTTGGGATTTATGTGATAGAACAACACAAAGAAGAACATAATTATAAAATGGAATCCAAAAATCAGAAAAGCTTTGCACACATCACTGTTTTCGCCATCATCTTAAAATGAAGAGTGTGGCACAACTTTGGAGGAGCTGTAGAGACCTACAGCTCAAGTGCGAGAATATATAGAAATCTGTCATTCACTCAATCCATAAATCTAGCATTTATAGAAAAGTGGTAAGATGGAGGTTAATGTTTAGGAAAAGCAATAAGAAAGCCAACTTTTAAAGGATAAAGCAAACAGAAAGAGCCAAGAGCTATAAGTAGGGGTTATGCTATTTTATGTGTCCCAATGTCTAGTGGATGAAAAGGTAGTGGACTCAAAATTTCCCACAATGCACCTTGAAAGGTAGTGTCCATCAATGGTCACTAGACGAACAGATATATATCCCAGAATGCTTTGCAAGAGCTCTGCTCACAAAACATCATGGTTTTTTAGGGGGGATGAGAGAGTACAAAGATTGCATAGGCACCATGTTGGGAGCTGGAGTCTCATGACCAATGTGGAGTGAAAAGTAGTGATCCTCTGTCTGGGTTCACCATAAATTTCACTATATAGTCCCTGCTCTGTAAAGGGGGGATAGGGCCGACGTTTTTGAGTGTAGAGAGATAGCCAATGTCTCCACAGTGAAACATGATGGTGGCAGCATCATGCTGGGAAATACTTTTCTTCAGGATGGACCGAGTTTATGGACATACTAATGGGAGTAAAATGCACTGCAGGCTGCACACAAACTTGGTTGTTGAGATGGCATTGACCTTCTAGCAGGACAATAACTTTAAGCAACTCTGTAAAGGGTAACTTCTACACTACTTTCACTGAATGTTTATTTAGAGGTATCAGGTTAAATCTGAATTCTTGGTGCTGCTCTATCACAAGCAATCCCAATAAAAAACAAATTTCACTTATAGATGCAATAAATCTAAAAGGTTTTGAGGGATTTGAATATTTTTGCACATACAAGCCACTGCACTATTTCATATGCTCAGGATACCCAGGTTATCCGCACCCTAGGGTCCAATACCGCATGCTGTATTCCACTTTAGTCCCATAAGACATATTACAAACACAATTGTTTTCTAAACATATCAGCGTCAATAAACAAATTACAGCAATAATATGTTTTACACTAAAACTGGAAGACTTCCACTGTACATGCTTGCTTAATTAGCAAATCCGATGTAATAAATAAATCAGATATAAACGTTGTACTATAAAGACACAGACAACAATTAAAACAGTAAATCCTGTGCTAGGCTTTCCTTAGCTCTGAGCTCTCCGTTAACTGTTAGGTTGCGTTTTTGCTTCTGCTGTTGTGACACAACAGAATGCACATTCCCACTGAGGTACATAGAAAACAGCAAACAGAGATTTTGAAAGCTGACCTGAGGGACCTGAAATAGAGAGGAGCTCATTTTAAGAAAGGAAGACCTGGCAAGGCTGTAAAAAATACACAAAGTTCTTTGTATTTTACAAGTAACATGGCTCCCAGGAGGTTACACTATCAGCATTGAGCTAATTAGAAACTCTCCAATATAAGTCGAGGAGGCAAATTGCTTCAATTTACAAACCAATTTTTGATCAAAAGTCCCTTATAAATAAAACGTTGGTCGCTGTCTGCTGGTGAGGAGGAAGGACCAAGTTTAAGGCGCTTTGTTTTTGTCCAGATGCAAAGAGAGAACTGAGAACAGAAATTTGATTGACAGATTATTCTGACGGAGAACAGCTTATTTAACTGGGGATATGTGTGTGTGTGACTATGTGCATCTTTTTACCACACCAGAGCATCATATTCCGGTGATCAGAATGTGCTATTTCTATCTCACGCTGCACAGAACACATGCAAGAGAGCTTTAACTATCAACAACAACTACTCTAATATTTAATAGTACTTACAGTGTATTTGAAAATACATGAAGACAAACATGGATCTCTGACAGAAAGATGTAGCTGCAGCCAGCCTTTTTTGTGTTGTGTGTATGTCCATCTTATAGAATCTCTGTATAATGAGCACCACAAGACTGGTGGTTCACAGTGTGTGTACAGTATTCTGGTAACCGGTTTAAGTTACTTTTACATACCATTCCTGTCAGAAAGTAAAGAATTGGAGTACTGAGGAAGGAATGTGTGTTTTGAAAGCTGATTTTAGTTTTGCAAAGAGGTGTTTGAATTACAGCGACCTGACAGCGGCCTGTGAGTGGGTGTGTTCGGCCCAGAGGAGTAGTTGTAATTGACAGCGGCCCTATGAGTGGGGGTGGCTGGTCCGGGAGAGAGGTTCTGATTGATGACACTTCTGTGGGACGGTGAGCAGTGCTGCGCCTGTCTGGGACAGCCTTGACAGTGGGTGGGCGAGTCGCATCCTGCCAAGGGCGATGAGGAGAATAGTGGGGAGGAGGGAACGGGGGAGGTGGAGAAGGAGGAGCGGTGGAGCGGGGATGAAGCCGGGGACATGAGGGGGCTGGTCTGGAGAAGCCACAGCAGCTCTTCATTGTTGCGGCTCAGGCGCTTCTTCTCTGTGCTCTCCTTTTCCACCGACTCCTGCAGATTGGCGTTCTTCTCTGACAGTTGCCTTGAGTGGAAAGTAGTAAAACATACAGATAAAAAAACCAGACCCCAAAATCAACCCCTTAAAATATTTAGAAAAAAAGTTACAATTACATAAAATCTCTGTAAAATTGACATAAAGATCCATATCTTCATCTTTAGGACCTAATAGCTCCAGCCCATGTCCTATCAGAATGTAAACAGGGGGTAATTTTTTTTTAATAGGTTTTCCACTAAGATAAACGTACTTCTTAATATAAATGCCTGATTTCTGCACCCGTTTTTAGTGAGTTTATATGTTGAAGACTTTGTTAAATGGTATTTAAAATCACACCATAGATATTGTTGGCTAAAGGAGCGATAAAGAAATTTTACCACTAGTTGGGATGTTGAGCATTGTCTGTAGACCAAAAAAAAATATCTGACAAACGCAGCTTCTTTTTCTAAAGAAAGTTCAATGCAGCATCAAATAATGCATTGGCTATGTATTTCACAACATTTTCAGTTTATTTTATATTTTATCCAGTTATTGTTTATGACAATGGTGTCCCACCTAGAGATTTATAATTGGCTCATATGCAAAATATCTATTTAAAAAGCTGCTTTAGTTTTCATAAACTAATAGAACTCACCTTTACCATTAAGATTTTATAATAGTAGCTCAAACGGTGTCAAGCTTTTAGCAGTTAGACGGCACCTCATAAGACAGACACCATTTATTTGAGAAACATTTTAGCATTCAATACCAGCAAATCCTGAAACACGATAACTCCTGATGTCTCTACAGCTCCTGACCCAACTTGCATTTGCATAAAATTTTATACACAGGCCTCAGAGACCAATTTAGTGAATCTCTATGAATAAACCTTTGGACATGTCCTACCTAGACATAGCGACGTTCATCTCTATACGAGCCTTCATATCTTCATTCTGCTGCTGCAGAACTTGGATCTTCTCTTCCAGGAACACGTTCTTTTGAGCCTGCTCAAATTTAGAGTAAAACAACGGAGCAATCTTTCATTCACCGCACACTCATAATCATCTAAGTCCAGAAAGCTTTGCATCTGTAATTTGCATACAAGGTTTGAAAGAATTTGCCTTTAGAAAGATTATTTGAGCCTACCACTTTCTCCAGGTCAGAGATCTTCCTTTCCTGCTGGTGAATTTGTTGGTTTTTCATTTCAACAACCTCTTTCAGGCTCTTCAGATCTTTCTCAATGTGCTGGTATGGAGCTAAAGCATCCTGGTAAACAAAATAAACATTGTGTAAATATATATAAGGCCATGTAAATGTATTAAGGGCTTTTTGTATATAAACCACTGGTCACTTTCTTTGCATTATAAATGATAAACTAACAAAACATAGTGCATCACTTTGAAATTTAAATAATTAAAATGCATGGTTTTCATGTAAAACCAAGAACATATAAACAAGTCTGACAAAAACTATTCTTAAATACAGGACTTCATGCATTCAAATTTCGATAAAGCTTACTTCGACCAAATGTCCCATTAGAAGCACTTTGCTGACCTCTAATGGTCAGAGGTTGCATTACATCTGTTTGTGTCTTGTTCTTCCATCTTTAAGCTCCATCTGAAATACTAAAACTGAATTTTTCCTGCACTATAATAAAAGTTAACAACACATCTGCAAAAAACAGCAGCTATAGATATACTTAATAAAAAATATGAGTATAAACATAAAGATTAATGTTCTCAGACAATGTCCACATTGTTTGAGTTCAAGTGATTTCCTTAGAAATTATAGTCTATAGACCTTGAAAAACCTGAAAGACTCTAAGCTGTAATTGCAGGTACTGAGTATGTGGGGCTTTATGCAAATGTACACGATGCATACTGTAGTGTCCCTTCCTATTATAAAATGTTGGCCTGTCACAAAAAAATAAGCGTTGTCTTATTGTTGTAATTAGAAAAAGCTTGGAAAGAGTTTGAATACTTTAGAAAGGCAGTAGGTAAAACATGTTTCCTTTAAACTCGTACTCGTACTCGTCGTCTCCCGCTTTTCTTTCCTTTAAACTTTTCATTTATTCCAGCCACACTGGATTAGAATTTCTTTCGAGACATTGGATAAATTCACAGTGCAGGCGGAAGTGACATAAATCTGATTTTTTTTTTACCCATATGCGATATGTATCTGATCTATTCATGACAGTCTGAACATTACAGATAAGAGTTTTTTTTTTTTTTTCAAATGTGACCCAGGCCACTTGACTATATGGTCCTAAATCTGATACATATCTGATTTTTTTTTCAAATGCCTGGAATGTGTGAACATCCAGGTCACATTCATCTGACCTGGACGTCATTAATACTCAAAAAAGGTCCATATTCTGTGTCTTGCAACACAGAAGCAGGAAGAAAAAAATAAAAACAACCAGAGTGGATGATGATGATGCAGAGAGCAGCCTTTCTTTTTGATCTTCTTGAAAAGATTGCGTTGATAAAGCACTATCATTCACGCTCACTACTTGTGACACCATTGTGTCCTCTACTGCGCATGTGGAGCAGTTAAGCTGTTCACACAGGGGATCACATAGAAGTCCAATATATTTGGAAATGGGAATAACCATTCAAAATAATCGTATTCCACTAAATAAATCGGAATTGAGCATTAAGGCCTGCAGTATTAATGTGTGAAAAAGATTTTTCTTTTTCAGACACACTGAGATCTATACTCACAATGATTTGTTCATCTGTACTCTTCCTCAAAGCCTCCTCGAAGCGTTTGGCTTTTTCCTTTAGACTCTGGTTTTGAAATGTGAGAGTATCCACTTGATCCTGACCAAAGCCAAAGAGTAGCAATGTTAGATCTCAGAACTATGATCACAAATGAATATATCTGTAAAGTCCTGTCTTAAGGTGACATAATACCTGTAAAGAAAGCTTCAGTTTTTCAAAATCCTCCTCTAGAAGGAGCTTCTGTTGCTCATGAGCTTTTCTCAAGTCTGCACACAAACATGGCAACACATAAACGGAAGTCACTCCTAGTAGTTTCTGCATCACAATTAGTTTTTTTAATCCAACGTACCTCTCATGGTACGGGCATGTTCCTCGTGCAGTGTTGCCATGGTAATATTATGCATGTCTCTGAGCTCCTGCATGGCTGCTTGATGATTAACTGTCACCTCCTCCATCTAACACATCAACAAATATATATAAATAGATATATATGTGCAAACAGCTTGTTATATTTGATGTGAATCATTTAATTCCTCTCTGTCACCTGCTCCTGCTGCTGAGTCGTCAGCTCCTCCATCTCCAACCGGTGTTCCTCCTTTAGGTGCTCCAGCTCAGCAGCGTGACACTTCCTGAGGCTCTCCTCTACAGCAGCCAGCTCTGCCTCCTGCTGCACCTGGAGCTCCTGCAGCTCGCGTTCAAAGGCCACCTCCAGGGCTGTTTTGTCCTGCTGGAGTCTCTCCCAGCGCACTGACTGGAAGGCTGTGCATTAAGCAGATTAAAAAGGGAACGAAAATGTCAAACTTTTCCATTTTGAGGTGATTTTGAGGTGTTCCTATAATCTTTTTTTTTAAAACCTATTAGATGTTTACGGTGAATCAGGTATGAAAATAGTTCAGAGGTTGTTTTTTTTTGTATTACATGCTTATTCTTATTCACATGCAATCACTGAATCTGTGAAATAATTTGACCAGAACTAGTTTTTCAGATGCTCCCAGCAAGAAACATCAAACTAAAAATGAGAACTACTATATTTTCAATCTTAAGCAAATTACTTTGTAATGTGAGTAGAAATAACTACAGTATCAGATTTTTAATTGTGGTGTAGCAAAATAAAAAGATGGAAAGGAGCTAAAATTATTATCTGGTAGCCTAATGTCTATTCCAACTTACTCATCTCCTCTTTAGCCTTCTGTAACTCCAGGGATAATTTTCTTTTACCTTTCTCAGCAGTTTCATTCTGTAAATTAAAAGAAAAACAACAAAACATATTTCTGAGATGGTTTCAAATCTTTTGAAAACAATTATAATTACCGGTACTATGTTTGTATGGTTTATAATAGAATCAACAGTTTCATAGATACACTATATAGCAGGTTTTGGATACCGCTGTCAGACTTCCGAGCTGTTATTGAAAGTGATGTTGAGACTAAATCATAGAGTTGAATGTGCAATAATATTCCTTGAATATTTTTATGTCAAGACAACAAAACAACTGATGTTTGGCTGTTAGCTTCAACATCAACTATGCAGTTTAAATTGATTGAGGGTTTTCATTTAAGGCTTTTCAACCCTGATTATTGGAATTCTCCCTGATTTACTTTGGTGTTGTGTTGACTCCATTAATGCTTTTTCAAAGCATTTATATATTTATTCAGATAGGATTTTAAGAATTATAATTTTAAATGTTTAAATAAACCCCACTTGATTTTATGAGTTAAAGGTGCTATGCAAAAAAAAAAAAGTAACCTTATTACATGTTCATATGAAGTTTCATTTAAAGTTTACTATAGGCCATAAAGGAGACAGAAGAAAGATGGGGACAAAGGTAACCTGGTTTGATTTGACCACAATTAAAAGTACTTGGCTTACATATTAATGTTACATGTTATGGAAAATAACACTTGAGACCAACCTGATCACAATACAATCATGTTTTGGAGATGTTTCCTAAATTACAAACAGGGAATATGATCAATATTGATGGGAGGTGGGTGAGGTTTAGTCCTGGAATAAAATCTGCAAAAGGCTGCAGCAGACTTTAGAATAAGGAAGATACAACTTATTTTAACTTCTGTAGTTTATATCAGTTGATGCACTTGTCCTTGGAGATTCTTCTCATCTACTTAGTTCCAGGATATAGTGGGAATATTCTCACTAAGTCATTGGCAATTATCCTTTCAAAGATAAAAGAAAATGTATTCAATTGTGCAGTATCAGGTAAAACACCTTTAAAATATTTAGACCCTTTTTGATGATATGTCACTGTTTGCTGGGTTTGCTGTTGAGAAAAACATTTCCACTTTGCTGTCTGATCTTTTAAAGAAAATTGTTGTTTGGAGACTTCAACTCTATCAGACATTAAATTAATCTACATTCAATTAAATGTAACACTGACAACCCCATACATGTAACAATGTTTCTGTTAAAACTTAACATCTAAATTATGGTCATTACTGAGGTTATTGTTTGCAAAGTATGACAGAGATCTACCATTCAATCAAACCAATTTACATGACTTGGTGCCTGATAGTATCTCTGTGTTTGCTTTAACCTGAAAAATGTAAGGTTTGTTAAGTTTGATTGTTTATAGCTTCCCCTAGTCTTTGCCCTTTCTGCTATTTATTAGAGATATTACAACTATTTATGGAGCTATGGGAGCATGGACGTAATTTGGAGGGAAGACAAGAGGGAAATGTCCCCTAGATTTTTCAAACCTCCGTTTTTGTCGCCTACAAGTTTTACTGTCCGAAAACAATATTAGGCTACAGTACACATACATTCACCTAGCACTAGGACTAAGAGGAAAACTGCAGCTCAAACTGAAGCCTGCTTCCCTAAGTTTAGTCTGCCTACAACTCCTGATTGGCCCACCATCTTTTCTTGTGTGATCGACTGTCACCACTGTCACTCCTGAGAAGCTCAGTTTACAAACATCTGAAGCACCACTGAACCTGGTCTGTGATAGGATGGTCAAACACGCTGAAGTTAGTTTTATCAAAAAACTTGCATCACACCTCACTTATAAAAGCAACGTTTCGCCCATGTATGGGAGGATCCACTTTTTCTTCTATTGAGATCTGGGACTTCTCCTCTCCAAGTCTCTTTCTGGGTCATCTCTCTGGTTGTCTTTATCTTGGCTGGCAAAGGCAGTACTGGTCTTATCATTTATTTTCTTACTATTTCTTCTTTGTGCAGACGAAGCTGCTGTTTTTTGGTTCGCATAATGAAAACAAGTTGGAAGTGAAAAGTTTTGCTCCCAGTCCCAACCAATGAACAAAGAAAATACAACATTTGGTAATAATTTGCACACATGTTGTAGCACATGCTTGTTTTAACCAGTTGCTAACCATCCACATTCTCAAAGAAAATAAATCTCATATCCATAATAAACAGGTCTGAAAGTCAGATGAAACAACTTGGGTTTAAGACCAACACAGGCAGCAAAAGCAAAATGTTACTACAGCTGTCATATGTAGTTTTTACCAGCAGGGGGAGCTTAAACCATTTATACTGTCCTCCAGGTCTCTTTTCCTGCATCACTTTACTGCAAGCTGAGGGAATGCAGTGCTCAGACAATGACCATAAAGGAGTCAGACAGACACAGACAGTACCATTGCTTTCCTGTCTAGGAGCCTAACTCACAACATCAGACACAGCAGAGTCAAACCAGCTCAGATTCACCATCATAGATCCGTTCTTCAGACAGCCAGTCTTTTCACATCAACACATCGACCTTGTGGGGCTACAAAATGCATCTGTCCTCGAGTTCATTTATGTAAATGTTACACGTGTGTTTGAATCAATCAAGTGCCAGAGAAAACAATAAAGAGAGAAATATTGTTCACAGGGGGATTCTGTTGTGAAAAGTTACTTCATAGAAAATCAGAGGGAATGATAATGCTTACATAAATGTTAACTTTTTTTACCCTTCACAAAAATATTTGGATGCTTAATAAAATGTTAAGCTTTCCTAAATAGCGAGAGGCCCTTACTTGCATTTTTTGACTTCAGTTTGTTACCTTAAGGCAGTAATGCTGAGTAGTGATTATGAAGGCATCTAGACCAAGAGAAGCTCTACTCAGCTCATTTCTCAGAGCCTTCAGCTGCCTCTCCTGGAGCTCACAGTGCCTCTGCAGCCTTTGAACCTTTCAGTGACAAAAAAGGGAGTTTAGAATAAAGCAGAAGAATGCAAGCTTCAAATACTGAGGGAAATTTTCTCTTTACTGACCTCCTCCCTTTGCTCCATCCTTTTCTTCTCATCTGCTTGCTTTTCTTGCTCTTTCTTCTGAGCCTCTTCATTCTCTCTCTGCAGGCTCTCCTGCTGAGGTTTCAGGGGGGCCACACGGCGTGGTGACCCTGTGGGAGTGGAACCCCTCACTGCTGCTGCAGGTCGCTGCCCGGGCTGGACTTCAGGGGGAAACAGAAAACAGAGGAAATTATGTCGGGTAGAAAATGGGAGGAATTATGTGTATTACAGGAAAGAGGAAATTGGAATTCAAAACAGAGAATTTTTTATTTTATCTGCTTTTCCTGAGATCTGATCCAACACACTGAAAATATATTCATATGCAAAGGTCCAATGTATACAACAGGAATTCTTAAAAATAGTAGAACATACTAGTGGCGTGGAAAAGTAGTGATATAAAGTTTTCTTTGTTTTAATAAAAATATGAAAGCAGTATTCTGTGTTTAGTTTCACACCTCCGTATCTTTATACTCCTAAATGAAGTCCTATATCATTCACAAGTCATATCACACAGTGAAATGGAGTCCAAATTTACATAACCCCGTCATAAATCCAACGTTTTTGCAAAAGCCTAAGAAATGTGTTCGTATAGAAAATATCAAAATATTTGAACATCCTACAGCTTTGTTTAATTACTCATCTGAACATAAAAGAGCATGAAAGGACTGCCATCTTGCCAAAAAAAAGTTCAAATATGTAGAAGTAGAAAATGTTTAACGTCATGCAAAAAATAACTGTATATCACACTGAATTCAAAATCCCTGTGGTGCCAGTTGGTCGTGGCAGCAGTATAGTGGAGATGCATTGTATAATCGGAGACAATAAAAGCTGTTCAGACTTCATAGGAAAGTGGATTGAGTCATATTTCATATTTTAGCAGGGCAATAAAACTAAGCGAACAGTCAGAGTTAGAATCCAATTCAAAGTGCATCTAAGGGGTTCAACAAACTACTAAATAATAAAAGCTCCCCAAACTTTTTTAGATTTCATGCATTATCTTTCTTTTCTTCTTCAGTTATGGACTACTGTACTTTGTGTCGGTCAGCCCAAAAACATGACACTGCATATATCTTCATGATTTCTATTTTGATGTACTAATGAAACCAACAGCTGTTAAATGAAGAGAGCTATGGCTGGACCTGCTGCTAATGATCAGCTTCATGAGATAAATGATTGCAAGTTAATGAAATCTTTTCTGCAGAGGACGCTTAGTGGTCGTTGTTAATCTGATATTCCTTCCTCTAATTTTATGACAAATGAGAATAATATCTGTGCTGCATTAGAATTAATTCAAAGAGCACATTACGGTAAACATATCAGGGTTTATTGGTACTTATGTAAATGTTTGTTAACAATTAGCCTATGAAATTGTTGCACCCATTAATGATGAGGGTAATTTGAAAGCTAGGCAAACATGCTTACCTACATTGAAGCTGACATACAGATAAGCCCATTAACCCGTGTTTATGTCAGATTTCAAAGGTTTATAACAAAAATGTACAAAATCTTATAGCCTAAAGTTGGAACATTTTTTAAATCCATCCACTGTGACCCAAGAACTGTCCCCTTTTCCATCCCCAGCCTAAGCCATATCAACTGAACCTACTGAAGCAAGTGTGAGTGGTTTCCATGACAACATGAGGCAGAGATTGGGGTGCAGGGTCCCAGGTAATGGGAAAGAATTGGTTAGAGGAAGGTGGGTGGGATGGGGGATAAAATAAGAGAGAAAGCTGTGAGATAAAAGAGAGAAAAGAATTGCAAGGCGATATTGAGTAGGAGGGGGTGGGGAGAAGACACTGAATGACCATAATGATGAAAAATGTCCAAAACCCATTAAGATAAGTAAAAAAAGAAAAAAAAAGAAAACTGATAAGAAAAGTGTAAGAATACTCCCCTTAAAGGGCAAGCAAATTTTTGCTTTTTAAAACCCATACATCTTGCAGCATTTAACAACATCCATACTCTCTGTTTTAAGTATCTCTCTTAATCATTTGCACCCCATATTTCCTGACAAACACACATGTGAACACATACTTGAAGACATCAATAGGTTCTATCTGAAAGGTTACAGAGAGGATACTGAATACTAAATGATTGTGATGCAGATGGGGTAGGGAGGAAGGCTTTAGAATATTAACACAAGCAACTATGTGAGAACAATGAGGTCCGGCCTAGCTGAGAGGGGAGGCAATACATAGTTGTTTTATTGGATTGGAGCTGAAATATTCCTGTCTCTGCAATCAATGGTAAAATATAGCTTTTTTAGCATCCTGGATTTTTGTGATTGGTTGGAAAAAGGACTGGATGGGGGAAAAAAAATCATTTCTTCTTTATCAGAGTATAAAAGGATTTTTTTATACCAGATAATATAGTTAATAGTACAATTAAGCAAGGTGCAGGAAAGAAAAGAAGTAAATAGTAGCATTGCGGTGAATATTTATGACAGAAGGAAAACGCACAGCTCGGGAAGGCTTTCTTCTGTAGGGATACAGCTGAAAGTTTGCTGCAATCCCTTGACAAAATGTTTTTACCACTGCAGAGCTGGGAAAAAGAAAAGCCTTGCTTTTTGTTTGCTGAATCAAATTCTAGCTGAAACTGAACACTCAGCGTGACACACTTGGAAAAACCACAAGTTTCCTTTGGATGTGGGTGAATTTCACAGTTTGAAATATAAACAAACAGAGAAAAAAAACACAAGGATCTAATATTTACATACGAAGGAGAACGGTAAGAATCAAACTAACCATGTGTTAAAAATATAACTTTGAAGATCCAGAAAAAAACCCTATTGTTGCATTATATGCACATTTGATATGCAAAGCTAAAAGTAATGCTATGGTTAATAATAACAATTACAAACTACTTAAATATTTGAGAAAGTTCATCGTTAAATTAAATTAAATTACAGAATTATCAATTAAGTTTAGATATTTCACTGAATCAATAAAAAAGTGAAATGTATACATTACATGAGCATTAAGTAAGCTGATTAAATACAATTTAATTAATTTCAAATATTTTTTATGTTAACTTTAATGATTTATGGAATCATAAGTTCAGCTTATCAGAAAATCTTAGCATTACAGATGAAAAATATTTCCAGACAAAAATGCATCCAATAAAAAAAAAGGGTACTGTACCGTATAAGGATAAATTATTGCAGCAGTGTGGCATGGCTTTCAGGTGATCAGCCGGCTGAAGTGTTATCAACAATTTTTGAAGTGATTAATGTGATATTCTTCTTTCTAAGAAATAAGACTTTGTATTTTTTATTATCTGTATGCTAAACTCTGCAAAATCTAGATATTTAAATGTTGGAAATACACCATCCTCTGTTTTTTGGCCAGTTTTCTATTAAATTCCTTAATAGAATCAAATGTTTAATAAATCCATAGAGACTAACTTGTACAGTACTTTGAAATTTACTTTTATAACCTCTGTTAAACCCTCTTATTTTATTTGTGAAATGTAAACCAAAAAATAGCTCTTCAATTTTTATTCTGTTTCATATTGTTGGAAAAAAAAAGTTTATAGTTGTACAGGAGAGCCACTTTGTGTGTATTCATTTTCTCGTCAGTTTCTGTATAAAATGTGACTTAATGATTACCTACCTGGAGACTGCAGCTTAGGGGGAACAACGGCTAGCCTCTTAGGGGAAGAAGGGAGAGAACGTGTGACCTCTAAACTCCGCTGAAACTCCTTCCTGCCAACTGTTAACACAAAGGAATAAAACAATGAGGGGTTTTATCCTCTGGCAATCCTACATCTGCTAATGCTCCCACAGATCAAACATCTGGAAAAACCAATTGCGCTATGTATCTATCAGATTATATTATTATAAGGTAATAATATATTAACAAGGTATAAGGTTTTTATTAACAAGTGATGAAAAATCATAATAATTAACAGGGATAAATGTTATAAAAGCATTTTTTTTAAATAAAATTATACTAGACGCATTAAAATTGATGCTCTTTAAAAAAAAATCAAATGTATTTATTATGATTGTATATTCCTCCTTAGATTGTCTTTACATGTTAAACCTTGTTAGCTCATGCTGCTATAATTATCCAGTAGAGAATGGGCAGAGAACCCATTCAGAAAAATACCAAACAGACAAAACAGATACCAATTCCAAAGAGAAATCAAACAACATAGTAGTCATGCTTTTCATCCATTATAGGAAACCGGAGTACCCAGAGAGAACTCACACATATGCAAGTAAAATAGGTTAAATCTATGCAGAAAGACGTCTTAATGTTCGCTGTATAGTCACTTTCTGAAGAGCTCCAGTTATGAAATGTCTCATACCTTCAATCATTAAACCAGAAACCTTCATATTTCATGTTTTTCATATTTTTTTATTACTCTTCCTTTTTTATCCCCCCCTGCTGTGTGCTATATAAGAGTTCATCAGGACCATCTGTCAACCATGAACAGGACATCTAGTCCTATTTTAGACATTTAAGTATGTTTTATTTTATGTTGCGCTCGTGTGTTTACTTTTATGTTACCTAATATATTTTACACAGCTGGAGAAATGTGCTGGTGTAAAGCAAGCAGCAGGTTTTACAGAACAATGCTAGATGTGTCGCGCTGAAGCTCCAAGAGCTGAGGATGAAACTGTGTGAAGAGAAAAAAGTGAGAAGGGTTTCAAGAGGTTCGCAGAGAGCCTGTCAGGAGGCAGAGAGAAGAGGGAAAATAGTGGCTTTGAAAGGAAACTAATTAAAGCTGTTATATAAGAGAGGCCTCTGTTCCCCAAAAAATCCCTTTATAACCCTGGAGAGATACATCATGGCTCCAAAGACATTTTTTATGGGTTAACTATTGTGTGTTCCATCTACTTAATCTGTTGTCATTCATAAGCTGCTCTCAGAGTGGCTCATGCTGCAGGTGTGCAGATCAAAAATCAAATCATGCCAATATAAAAAGTGCTGGAATATGTCTACAAAATTGTTTAATAATGTTTATAGCCATGGCTAATTTGCAACACATTTTCTAAGTACAACCTTTAACAGTTGAATGCAAAGTTAAAATGAACAGAATACAATAAATGACCAGAAAGTGATATAAAACTATGCCTTCAAATCGATTATAAGATCTAGCAATTCTTGTTCATCTATAGTCGATTCTTAAGCCTAGAAATAAACAACTCTGAAAGGATCCTAAAATCTGATGGTAATAAATTCCAGAGGTTAAAAGTCTTTAAAGGTGCACAGTGATATTTAGCAGTCATGATTTGTGGGCTGCCTACAGTGACTCTGGAGATTCATACCAATACAGTGCAGTAATATCAAAGTAGAAGAGGTTGAATCCAAGATCTGCTGCTTAAAAACATAGAATATTATTAAAATATACCCAAGTCAAATCAACATTTCAAAGTAACAGATAGAGCCTTTAGGATTATTGGGCTATATGCAAGAACTGTTCCTATGAACAAATTGATTTCTAATGTTATAGGAAAACATTTTTTATGAGAAAATGGAGGTAAACTAACTATAGTTGTTTTGTTTTGAAATTATAGCTAAAATTCTAAAATAAGAACCAGGCGCATGTGAAAATATTGCAAGATTATTAAAAAGCATAGCAACAGTTACCTGTGTGGATCTGATTGAAACATCTTTCATGTTTCAACAGTGAAAACCTGACCTTCAGTGTTTTTCAAGAGACCCTATGGTATCCCAAATCAATTAAGATAAAAGCCTTTGGTGGCGGTTATATATCGCCTTCCATAAAGCCGCAGACAGATTTTTATTTTTTTATTTTAGTGCATTCCATTAGCACAAAGGGGACTTTATCAAGAGAAATTGTGAAAATTTGAAATAATAATTAAGTAAATTAAAAATTAAAGGTCATAAGACAAGATCACATGATTTCAACATCTTAAAAAGTACTTTAATGAAGTGATTGTGTGAATGAATGAGTGAATGGATTTACACTGAACTTTAAGTAGACCGGTTATTATTTCCAGGTGGAGCATCTAAATAACTGGTCCTCCTAATTGTCAATCATTTTGACGAAATGTTTACGTAAGGCCGTCCTAAGTTTTTGTCCGGGTATCTTTTTCTGCGGGTGCGCACCTTCAGGCGTATATCTGTGGGGAGCTACGGTTTGAGACAGTCATTGAAGCTCACCTTTCTCACCGCGGTTTTCAAAAATGGCCGACGGTCGTAAGAGAAAAAGTGTCTACGGAGTGTATGAGAACAAAAGAAAGGCCTCAGAACTGGCAGATATATCCCAAAATGCTTTCCGTGGAGAGCTCGCATCGCAAAGCATTATGAGATTTGTTGTCACAGCGGCCAGCTGTCGCCATAGCCTGTCGCTACCTGACAGCAGTGATTTATAACATAGATAGCACAGGCATCGCGCAGTAGCCCAACGGGTAAGTGATCATCTATCCGAACGGTAAGTTGACTGCGTTCACTAGAAAGTACACTATATAGTCCCCGCTATATATAGTGATTGAGGGATTTAGGGGTCAGGGCAGATATAGGGCACAGTAAGCTTTTATGAGCTATGAGAACAGCAACTTTTAAAGAGAGCGTGCAAGAGGAGAAATGGGCTTGTGCATGCTATTGCACATGCATGTTTTTGTGGAGAGGGTGGGTCTTTTAAAAAAATTTGACAAAATCCTCCACAATACCTTTAATATTCAGGATACCTAAAATATCATAACAATAAATGAGATCAAGAAACAATGGAAAGAAAACAACATAAAAAAAGAAACAATGTGAGCAACAGTCTGACAGTGGCAGTTCAAGGTATAAGATCCCTGTATATCGGTCAACGGAGCCTTTTTTAATCTACATAAAGAAAACATTGTTATATTGATGACATAACGTAGCGGATGTTTGTTGATTTTGACAGGGACAAATCTTGTCAAAAAATAAGCACCCAAACATGTAAGTAACCAAACATGAGGATAAAACCAGGTAAAAGAAAATGAATCAACAGCAGTGTCTGGATCTCTGGGTTGCTGTTTTTCTTCCAAACATGTATGTTAGTCAAACAACCCAGAAAATATATATGATAATTAATATGACGCTATAAAGAATAAAACATTTCACATTTTATTCTATATGGATTTATTCTAAATCTCACTCTACAAGTGAAAAATAGTGTTGTGTGTGAAAAGTGTCCCAGCTTCTCACCCAACTGGTGTTACTTTTGCAAAGTCAGGTGAGATCTAGCAAGAATTTCACTTTTTCTCAGCTTTCAGCTCTAAAGGTTTTATATTTCAGGAGAAAAGTACAACTCCACCCCACAAAAAAGCTGCCATTTAAACAGTAATAATTTGCAAAACAATAACTGAAAAAAATAATGTAGTGACAGCACTGCAGCATTCAGTGCTGTCACTAAGTTATATTTTTCATTATTCTATTTTTTAGCATAAGTCATCTACATGTAACATCAACACTTATAAATACAGCTCTGCTCCTCATAAACCCCAATAAGAAGAGTAAAGATAGTGTTTTGAATGGTTTCTGTTCACAAACATCTACTCACCTCCAGGGGAGCTTTTTGGCGGGGGTGGCAGGTAACGCCGTGGCAACACCGGGGTAGAAGGAGGTTGGAGGCCGCTGCTGCTGCGACATGGCGGCCCTCTATGTTGATCTATCAGCGGAGGGCTCTTTGTCACTCTGTGAAGCGGAAGCTCCTCACTCACATTCACACCTGGAAAACATCAAATATAACCTTTCATCTCTGAGGTATATTTATTTAATTTCCCTTTGGAATTAATAAAGTATGTTTTAATTCAATTAAATTGAATCATTTTTCCATAAATATTCAGCCACAAATATGTTTTTTTCTTTTTTTTCCTGAACACTCATCTATCCCTGCTTACCATGAATATATTATTTATTTTCCCACCTTTCACAGGTGGGTGACCCTGTTCTGTTTAAAATTAGACTCACTGGACCACGAAATGGTTTGTTACTTGTGGGTCTTGGTGCTGCCCCCAATCTTCTTTTTCTAACCAGGATCAGACTATCTCTTCTGCTCATGTACACAAACAAACTCACCTCCACTCACTCATGTACTGCTCAATGCAATCTTTAGCCACTTTATCTTGCAAATAAAGTAACAAGATGATGGCTTGTTTATTGAAGTATTAGTATTTAGAAAAGCAGTTTGACTTTCTAAGCTACTAGAAGAATGAAGGTTTCTCTTATGTTGTGCCAAACACCCCTCAGGTTTCTGGGATTAGAATAGTTCACTGCAGGGTGCCTCATATTATCCGAGCAGTTATGCAAGAGAACAGATTGCCTCTCTGACCAAACAATTCTCCCAGATTGCAGCAACAAATAACTAAACATTTACCAAGTGCATATTCCAAACAAAAATATTGAAATTCATCAATGTAGCTTTCCTAAAGTGTTTTTTCTAATGTACCATTACTTTTGAAACCTAACAATTCAGCATCAAAGCTTGAAAAAATGGCAGCAAAAGGAAAGAGCATCAATAGTGGTATCCAACTTAAATTTATGTTCAAGGTTTACATGGCTAGGATCTACAAGAATTAATTTAAAACAATGATACGAGAGAAGTAGCTTTGGAGAAGCAAAATGTTGGCTCCACACAAAAGGAAAGAAAGAGTCTGCCCTTTGTTCACCACATTGTAAACATGATGTTTGTGAAAAAGATTGTAGTTCGAAATAATAAGAATTAAATTTTGTCTGCTCCAACAATAAAAAACACCACGGTAATACACACATAATAACTTTTTGCAAAGAATTGTCCACTTTGACTTTTAATGATTAGTTTGAGATTTCAGTCATTGAAATAAATAGAACATAAGGAGCTATAAGTTTGAATTCACCAAGAGGAAAAGTTTTAGAAATAAAAATGTGCACTGTATGTCCGTTATCTGAGATAACAAAAGCTAAAGCAATTAACCTGTCTGTAAACATTTCAAGTGTTAATGTTAAAATCTCCAGTAAGGCACACAGGTAACCTGAGCTGAATGTAGAATTCCATTCTGCCCTTTATGGATTTCTGTTTAACTTTCTTCTTGAAATTTCAGTTATGTATGTCATTCTGTATCGGTGGTCATTGATTACTTTTCGATTTGGTGTTATATTTAAACAGTGTTATTTTTTGAGTTACTCTTTGTTAACCCCTTGTGCAAATATCCACACCTGTATGAAGATCGGTTTCAATTTTCACAAATACACATATGTGACTCATACACACACAGCACAAGATCCACACACACACAGCGCAATTCACGCAAGCACAAAAAATTCACACACACAGCACGATTGGCCTTGTGATTGGCTAATACAAGGGAGCTCTGTGATTGGTTGCAAACCATCCACTGTTTAAAAAAATGCATTTGTGTATCAAGGCACATCAGGAGAATCTCAAAAATCCAAACACGAATGCAGTGAAGTTTAAAGACTATTGGTACTTTGTAATTTAATTTATAATTGTTTATGAACCAGAAATACTTTGGGTAACCTTGTGCTGTGCGTGTGTGAATCTTGTATGCTTGCATGAATCGTACTGTGTGTGGATCTTGTACTGTGTGTGTGGATTTTTTTGTGCTTACGTGAATGATGCTGTGTTTGTGGAACTTGTCCTGTGCATGTATGAATCACATATGTGTATTTGTGAAAACTGAGACCAATCTAGCACCATACACCTGCACCATATATGGTGACATTCTTTGTTCTCTTCCCCCATATATACACTTTCTGTGCAGTTCCTCATTGCTGGATCAGATCCTCTTCATTGCTTCTTGTATGGTTCTCCTGCACGTCTCTAGTTTTCGGTTTCCCTGCCTGTTATTTCTGGATTTATGTTTTTGTACCATCTACTTCAGTATTAAAACTGCAAAAACAATTTCTCCCTCTTTTACTCTGCATTTGGGTCCACAACAACATCCACCAACCCTGACTAAGTCAGAATAAACAGGACACCAAGATACTTGATTCATCCTCTGGATGTGGAGAGATCCCGCTATATTATTTTGCTTTTTTTTTACCGTATATGTGGGTAAAAATGTTGACCTATAGTTATATGGGACAGTTGACACTGCTTCGTCACAACACTTTGCTTGTATTTTACATTTATCTTTACACACTCTTGAATAGGTCACTTGACAGGTGCCTAAGGTACTGTATGTTCTGCTGAAGTTGGCACAAAGACCGGTTAAAAAAATAATTCCACTAATGTGCAGTCCTTACTGGTGCTCTTTTTTGTTTTAAACAAATATTCAGAGGACATAAACAACAACCGAATTTCCTCTGCTGCCATTTTTCCACATTCTAATGGACTTCAGCCAATGAAATACGAGAAAGAGGAAGAAGCACAATTTCCTAAAGAGGAAGCTGATAGGAATAAAAAAAACAAAAACAGAAAAGAGTGACAAAGAGAAAGAAATGGATGACAGAGAAGAAGAGTGAAGATTCAGGCATTTTCTGAGGGTGTATGAAAAATGTTGAACAAATTTAAAAGAGATCTGACAATTGGGAAACAGCTGGGGGAAAAAAGGGAGGCACTTTTCCCAGCTCAGCAGGAGGTCATTTTCTAAGAGCAGTTTCTTGCTCATTCCAGCAAAACATGCTGAATGCTGCCGACTTTTTTTCTGTCAAAACAAACAAAATGCAAATAGATTTTAAAAAGCAAAATTAAGCTACAGTATCTGAATGAAGCCTCACAGTTAGCCTGGTGTGAAAAAAAAAAAAACAATTATTATTTAAGATGATCCAGAATTGTGCTAAGACCTGAAATCTAATTTATTTTTGATGAGCTCAGCTTCATCAAAACATTCATCAGCAAAAATATCCTCAAATGCTGTCTTGAAGCTGAATTTACAGAAAGCTGCCCTCTGCATTTGCACAACCAAACACATTATGTGTTGACATGGAAGGAAGCTCCACAGCTGGTATTGCTGACTTGCCTCAGGAATTAATAAGGAATACATTTTATTCAATGATCCATAATCCCTTTGGAAAATAACTGAAACCAAAAAGCATCTTGCAAAAACTATTTAATCTAGCAGTCACTGGTCAGTACACTTTACCATATTTTTATTCATTCATACACATTTAGGACAAACATTAAATTACAAAAATAGTTTCTACAGGTTAAGGCTGCTTGAGGACATGAGTACCATTTTCATTTTCATCATTGTTTCAGTCTATCAATATTCGAAAAAATCTATGGTATTTGTTAATACAACCTAAAACTTGATGCTCTAGTTTTTTTCTATTCAATTTAGCTTCATATGTTCTGTTCCTATTTGACAGTGACCCCACCCCACAGAGAAATATCAGCTGGGCTACTTCCATCAACACTTTTGATTACAGATGATAGAGTTGGGCATGGTTTTTAGTCTTTAGTCCGGTTTCTCTCCTACAGTAGATAAACCTATGGGCTCAGTATGTGACCTCTTTCATCCCTTGGCCTGAAAACCGTCTCAAAGCTCATCTGCTAATTGTTTTTCCCTAAACAGAGCCATCTGTGGAGTTTGTTCACCATTACATTTTGTATGTCTGCTTCTTTTTGAATGTCTGCCTCTCTGTCCTTCACTGCAAAAAACAACAACAAAAAAACATTTCTTGAATTGAGCAAGTAAGTGACACACTATGCTGATGGAATATGACAATTTACATTCAAAATAAGAACAAAAACAACATCAGGATTTTATTTTAAGTGCATAATATCTGATTATTTTATTTTAAGGATAAAAAAACTAATTCCATTGGCAGATCAACTTATTTACTTATTTAAATTAAGGGTGAATAAACTTTTTTTCAGAAATGCGCACCCAAATTTAGATACTTGTTGGCTGGCCTCGGCAGACGGCTGCTTATATTGAGCCTGGTTCTATATGCATGCTCAGTGTGAGGGATTGATGTAGAGTCCATGACAATATACATAAGCTTATATGCTGCAAGTCAATGACCTGATGCAAACAGCTGATTTTTCCTTAGATTTTTAAAATCTTTTTAACATTCTGACTGTATGATCTGATTGAATTGTCTCTATATAGTCTCTTGAGATGGCTTGTGTTGCGAATTAGAGCTATATAAATAAACTAGAATCAAAGTTTATTTGAATGGAAGTGAATACACAAGTATACTTTTAAAGAAAAACAATAATAGTTTTTTTACAATAATATAAATAATGGAATAAATAGGATTTCAGTGACTGATATATATTTGTTGTTTTGTTTTGTATTAGATATGATCTATTCAGTTACAATAAACAAAAATCCTGTCATATGTTATTCAGTGCCACACTGAAATACAGAAATAAAGGCAGCACTATTGGGAACCGGCTTATGGTGGGGCCCTTGACAGAAATAGGAACTTATTGAATCGTTCCCCCTGTATGTGATGAATGATTTGTACAGAAACAGAAATCTGGATTACAATGTAAATTGTAGTTGACAATAAATTGATTGATTGATTGATTGATTGATTGATTGATTGATATATATCTTATTTTTTTCCATGGGCTGAACTGCAGTAACCTTGCGCTGCAAACTGGATTGTCGCGAGATCAGAGTTTTCAATCTCACAACAAATCCAACTAATGTAGAACTTAAGTCAGTTCTACACATATCAATCTGGCTACTGCCAGGTTAACTGCAGGGCCATTAAAAGCCCTACAAACAATTTTTAAATGAAGAAGGAATTATTATGTCAAATTTAAAAAGAGAT